TATGTATAAGTCAGCTGAACATTCATCAAAGCAGGCTCATTAATGTTTGAAAGTTTAGTCCATGGACATAAAGTGTCATGAGAGAAAGCTGAGCGATTGCCCAAAATTCTTACAAAACTATTTATTTCAGAAACTTCTAGCCTGGATCTAGCTATGTTGTCAAGTACAGAATCTTGGTATTAGGGACAATTGGATTGATGGTTTTGACTTGAGCCAAAGAATATCACAGGATAATGATACCTAAAAGGCTCCAAAAACCCACCAAAGGATAATACATGAAAGTAGAATTTATGATTTTATTACTCATTTATGATTTTATCACTAGATATGTACTTTGGCCACCTGATGCAAGGAACCAACTAGTTGGACATATAGAGGCAGGAGGAGAAGGGGATGACAGAGAATGAGATGACTGGATGGCATCACTGACTCAATGGATGTGAGTTTGAGCAAACTCTAGGAGATAGTGAAGAACAGGGAAGCCTGGAATGCTGCAGTACTTGGAATTGCAAGAGTCAGACATGACTGAACAACAAGTGTAGTTTCTATAGAGAATGAACCACATGACCTCATTCATTCAGGCCCCCTGAAGAATACCTACATTTGTGTGTGGGGGCATATGCTAGCTTTGAGCTTGCTTGGTGGATATGGAAATGGGTAAGGGAGGGGCGGCTAAAATTTGAATATTTAGTGGCATCTGGTTAAGCTGCCTTAAGAATGATAATCCATAGTTCCTTACTCCATATAACACACTAGAATAGGAACTTTCATCTATAGCCTGATTTAACAGGTGTGTGTGTGTGTGTGTGTGTGTGTGTGTGTGTGTGTGTGTGGTTGTATTACTGGTCAACTCCTCTTCTAGTGAATAAAGTGCTTAATCTTTAGATAAAGCAATAATTTAATCTTATTTCTGTCCAATGTAGCAGGTTAGATTTTTTGAAAGTGACTGGGTATTTTCTTGTCCTCAATTATTTTTATTCTCCACTCATTTATGTTTTACTCTCAGACGGGCAACTCTAATTTCCTTCTGTTTTTTTTTTAATGAAAAATATTTATTTATTTATTTATTTATTTTTCATTTATTTTTATTAGTTGGAGGCTAACTACTTTACAATATTGTAGTGGTTTTTGTCATACATTGACATGAATTAGCCATGGATTTACATGTATTCCCCATCCCGATCCCCCCTCCCACCTCCCTCTCTACCCAATCCCTCTGGGTCTTCCCAGTGTACCAGGTCCGAGCACTTGTCTCATGCATCCAACCTGGGCTGGTGATCTGTTTCACCCTAGATAATATACATGTTTCGATGCTGTTCTCTTGAAACATCCCACCCTCGCCTTCT